GAAAGAAAAGACCAAAATGGATATCGGAAGATGCTCTGAAACTTGTTTTTGACCGTTGAGTACCTAAAATGAAAGGAAGACATGATGAAGTACAGGAGCTGAACAGAAGATTTCAAAGGGTGGCTCAAGAAAACAAAGTAAAGTTTCATAATGACATGTGCAAAGGCGTGGAGTTAGAAACCAAAACAGAAGAACACACTTGACATTTTTCAAGCTGAAAGAACTGAAGAAAAAATTCAAGCCTCACGTTGCAATATTGAAGGATTCTATGGGGAAAATATTAAATGACGCAGAAAGCATAAAAAACAGGAATACACAGAGTCGCTATACCAAAAGGAATTGGTTGACGTTCAACCGTTTCAGGAGGTAGAATATGATTAGGAACCAGTGGTGCTGAAGGAAGAGGTCCAGGCTGCACTTACGGCATTGGCGAAAAACAAGACTCCAGGAACTTACAGAATACCAGTTGAGATGTTTCAACAAACAGATGCAGTGCTGAAAGTGCTCACTTACCTATGCCAAGAAATTTGGAAGTCAGCTGCCTGGCCAGCCGACTGGAAGAGATTCATATTTATGGCTATTCCAAAGAAAGGTGATTCCACTCTTATTCAGCATTGTGCTGGAGGTCCTAGCCAGAGCAATAAGGCAAGAAAAAGAAAGGGCATCCAGATTGGTAAGGGAGAAGTAAAAGTATCCCTATCTGCAGGTAATATAATCTTATACACAGAAAACCCCAAAGAATCTACAAGAAAACTGCTAGAACTAATAGAAGATTTCAGCAAAGTATCAGGATACAAGATAAACATACAAAAATCAGTTGGATTCCTTTACACCAACAAAGAAGAAATCACCAAATCAATAGCATTTACATTAGCCCCCAAGAAGATAAAATACCTAGGAATAAATCTAACCAGAGATGTAAAAGACATATACGAAGAAAACTACGAGACACTACTGCAGGAAGACAAAAGAGACCTACGTAAGTCAAAGGACATACATTGCTCATGGAGATGAAGGCTCAACATTGTGAAAATGTCAGTTCTACCCAAAGCGATCCATGGTTACAGTGCAATACCGATCTAAATTCCGACGACATTTTTTAACAAGATGGAGAAACAAATTACCAACTCTGTATGGAAAGGGAAGAGGCCCTGGATAAGTAAAGCATTACTGAAGAAAAAGAGCAAAGTGGGAGGCCTCACACTACCTGATTTTAAAACCTATTATACTGCCATGGTAGTCAAAACAGCCTGGTACTGCTACAACAACAGATACATAGACCAATGGAATGGAATTGAGGATCCAGATGTAAATTTTTCTACCTATAAGCAGTTGATATTTGACAAAGGCCCAAAGTCCATTAAGTGGGGAAAAGACAGTCTCTTTAACAAACAGTGCTGGCTTAACTGGATATCCACCTGCAGAAAAGTGAAACGAGACCCATACTTCACACCATGTACAAAAAATAACTCAAAATGGATCAAAGACCTAAATATAAAGTGTAAAATAATAAAGATCATGGAAGTAAAAATGGGGACAACACTAGGAACCCTAATACATGTAATAAACAGAATGCAAAACATAACTAACAATGCACAAACACCAGAAGAGAAACTAGATAATTGGGAGCTCCTAAAAATCAAACACTTACGTTCATCAAACAAAAGACTTCATCAAAAGAGTAAAAAGACAACCTACAGACCGGGAAAAAATTTTGGCTATGACACATCTGATCAGGGTCTAATCTGTAATATATACAAGATGCTGCGAAACCTCAACAACAAAAAGACAACCCACTTAAAAAATGGGCAAAGGATATGAGCAGGCACTTCACCAAAGAAGACATTCAGGCAGCTGACAGATACATGAGGAAATGCTCATGATCATTAGCCATTAGAGAAATGCAAATGAAAACTGCAATGAGATACCATCTCACCCCAACCAGGCTAGCATTAATCAAAGAAAAACACAAAATAACAATTGTTGGAGAGGTTGTGGAGAGACTGGAACACTTATACACTGTTGGTGGGAAAGTAAAATTGTACAACCACTTTGAAAATTGATTTGGTGCTTCGTTAAGAAGCTACAAATAGAAATACCATATAATCCAGCAATTCTACACCTTGGAATATATCCTAGAGAAATAAGAGCTGCCACATGGATAGACGTATGCACACCCATGTTCACTGCAGCACTGTTCACAATAGCAAAAAGATGGAAACAACCTAGGTGCCCATCAATAGATGAATGGATTAACAAATTATATTCACATAGTGGAATAGTATGCAGCGATACAGAACAATGATATATCTTTGAAATATCTCACAGCATGGATGAATCTGGAGGCATTATGCTGAGTGAAATTAGTCAGTCACAAAGGAACAAATATTGTATGAGACCACTATTATGAGAACTCAAGAAGAGGTTTAAACACAGAAGAAAACATTCTTTGACGGTTACAGAGGGTGGAGAGAGGGAGAGGGGAATTCACTAACTAGATAGTAGACAAGAATTATCTTAGGTGAGGGGAAGGACAACACACAATACAGAGGAAGTCAGCACAACTGGACTAAACCAAAAGCTAAGAAGTTTCCTGAATGCAACCAAACACTTCGAGGGACAGGGTAGCAGGGGTGGGGGTCTGTGAACCATGGTTTTGGAGGTCATCTAGGTCAATTGGCATAACAAAGTTTATTAAGAAAATGTTCTGCATCCCGCTTTAGTGAGTGGCATCTGGGGTCTTAAAAGCTTGCAAGCGGCCATCTAAGATGCATCAATTGGTCCCAACCCACCTGGAGCAAAGGAGAATGAAGAACAACAAAGACACAAAGAAAATATTAGCCCAGGAGACAAAAGGGCCACATAAACCAGAGACTCCATCAGCTTGAGACCAGGAGAACTAGATGGTGCCCAGCTACCACCAGTGACCACCCTGACAGGGAGCACAACAGAGTCCCTGACAGAGCAGGAGAAAAGTGTGCTGCAGAACTCAAATTCACATAAAAGACTAAATGGTATGACTGAGACTACAGGAACCCCAGAAGACTTGGCCCCCGGACTCTGTTAACCCAGAACTAAAACCATTCCCAAAGCCAACTCTTCAGACAAAGATTAGACTGGACTATAAAACTTAAAATAATACTTGTGAAGAGTGTGCTTCTTAGTTCAGCTAGATACATGAGACTAAATGGGCAGCTCCTGTCCGGAGGGGAGATGAGAAGGCAGAAAGGGACAGGAGCTGGCTGAATGGACATGGGAAACCCAGGGTGGAAAGGGGGAATGTGCTATCAAATTATAGGGGTTGCAACTAGAGTCAGATAACAATGTGTATAAATTTTTGTATGAGTAATTAACTTGAGCTGTAAACTTTCACCTAAAGCACGATAAAAAAGAAAAAGAAAAAGAAAACACCAAAGAAAGGTGATCCAGCAGAACACAGAACTTAATTGAACAGTATCATTAATATCACACGCAAGTAAAATTTTGCTAAAGATTTAAAAGTGGTTGCAGCAGTATATCGACAGGGAACTGCCAGAAATTAAGCTGGGTTCAGAAGAGGACGTGGAATGAGGGATATCATTGCTCATGTCAGATGGATCCTAGCTGAAAGCAGAGAATACCAGAAAGATGTTTATGTGTGTTTTATTGATTATGCAAATGCATTCAACTGTGTGGATCATAAATTATGGAAAACATTGTGAAGAATGGGAATTCCAGAACACTTAATTGTGCTCATGAGGAACCTGTTCAGACAGAAGAAGGGGATACTGTGTGGTTTAAAGTTAGGAAAGGTGTGCGTCAGGATTGTATCCTTTCACCATACTTATTCAATCTGTATGCTGAGCAAGTAATCTGAGAAGCTGGAATGTATGAAGAAGAATGGGGCATCTGGATTGGAAGAAGAACTCATTAACAACCTGCGTTATGCAGATGACACAACCTTGCGTGTTGAAAGAGAAGAGGACTTGAAGTACTTATTGATGGACCAATAAGCAACATCATGATCAACAGAGGAAGGATTGAAGTTGTGAAGGATTTCATTTTAGTTGGATCTACAATCAACACCCACGGAAGCAGCAGTCAAGAAATCAAATGACATATCGAATTGGGAAAATCTTCTATGAAAGACCTCTTTAAAGTGTTGAAAAGCAAAGATGTCACCTTGAAGACTAAGGTGCGCTAGACCCAAGCCATGGTGTTTTCAATCACTTCATATGCTTGTGAAAGCTGGACGATGAGTCAGGAAGACCGAAGAATAATCAATGCCTTTGAATTAAGATGTTGACGAAGACTATTGAATATATCATGGACTGCCAAGAGAATGAGCAAACCTGTCTTGGAAGAAGTACAGCTAGAATGCTCCTTAGAAGCAAGAATGGCAAGACTTTGTTTCACATACTTTGGACATGTTATCAGGAGAGATCAGTCCCTGGAGAAGGACATCATGCTTGGTAGAGAGTCAGCAAAAAAGAGGAAGACCCTCAACGGGATGGATTGATATAGTGACTGCAATGATAGGCTCAAGCATAACAATGATTGTGAGGATGGCACGGGACCTGGCAGGGTTTCGTTCTGTTGTACGTAGGGTCACTATGAGTTGGAACCGACTCAGTGGTACCTCACAACAACAACAACTATCTGCTAGATTCACAATATTTCACCTGCTGTTTCTTGTAAAAATTAAAAATTAGTAGGGCAGAAGGGAAAGGAGTAGAATAGTACGATGAAGTAGAGGGAAGTTAATACACAAAAATGTTTGCGTTAAGTCACTGCTAAGAGTGGAAAGCCCTTAACTGTGTTGAGGCATTAATGAATTAGATAGATAGGCAGTTCTAGACTTACTTTTTTAAAATGGAGTGTAAACATGTTATGCTTGAATAGTTGTCAGAAAAGGCCTAGGTAAAATGTAATGCATTTTGAGACAAAACTGAGGAGGCTCTGAGAAAACAGTGTCCACTGTGGTATTTGAAACTTAGTTTTAGAGTAATGCAAACTGTGACTTGCAGTTTACCTCAATACGTTGACAGCAGTCTTGATTTTGTGGTACTGAATAAGATTCAAATTATGTACAGACCCTCAAATGACTTATCTCTTGGGAAAGTGCATTTAAATATATCATTTAAAATATTGCAACTGTATTCCCATAGTCTTTGTCTGTTTTTTTTAGTTTTTTTTAAAATATCATTTCTACGTTTTTGTCTCCCACACTGAACGTGAACTTCAGAGCATTGATCATAATTGCCTACCTGTTTTAGTGAGCATCTTTGGGTTTAAGCTACAGAAACTCAAATCAAAGGAGCATAAGCCAGTAGGGTGAACGTACTGGTTCCCATCCCCAAACTGGAGAAAGAGCAGAACAGGAGCTACTCTTAGTAATGATTAAATTGAGGGACTGTGTAGGAGTCCTCAGTATGAGCATAGTATTTAAGAGCATGGATTCTAGAGTCTGACTGCCATGAGTTTACATCCCATCTCTGTCACTTTCCGGCTTTGTTACTTGGACAGTTATTTAATCCCTTTTGTTTCAGTTTCTTCATCTATAAAATGGGGTTACATAATAGTACCTACTTCATGGAGTTGTGGGAATGTTAAATGAGTTACCACATGTAAAACACTTAGAAAAAGACCATGTACAAAGTAGAAGCTATATAAGTGTTGTTATTGCATTGCTATTTATCTACTTACGTGATTTTTATTGTACTGTGAGTTACTCAAGGGCAATTATCAAGTGTTATTCATCTTTGTGCTATCTCTCCTGATGCAACTTCTAGCATATAACAATTCTTCAAAATACGCTTATTGGTTAAATGATTCTCTTTACCTTCCAATGAGCTAGTTATTCAGAAATTATCATCTTTCCTGTTTTAGAAATGAGAACAGTGAGGCTCAGCAATAGCTTATCAAAAATCACACAACTAAGGAGCAGTAGATCTGAAATAAGAAGTCAGGTATGTTGGCTACTAGTTTTGTGTCTTCACCCTTTGCCGACTACAGAAGATAGGTTTGGTCCCTTGTGCCAACTCTGATTTTGGAGCCCTGTGGCACAGGGGTTAAGAGCTCGGCTGCTAACCAAAAGATCGGTGGTTTGAATCCACTAGCAAGTCCTTGGAAACCCTGTGGGGCAGCTCTACTCTGTCCTATAGTGTCACTATGAGTCGGAATCAACGCAACGGCAATGGGTTTGGTTTCTTTTTTTTTTTTTTTAGTGCCAACCCTAATTGATTGGCAGTTGTTTCCTGCAGCACTGTGTGAGAATTCTGAAGCTACATTTGAACTTTGCTAGAAAGAATGCCCTATTTAATAAGCAATCACTGCAAGGCATAGGGTAGAATTAGGATATACCACTTCTCTCACCATACTACCCCAGGATTTAAAAAAGAAGGAAGTCGTGTATTTACCTAAAAATGCTATATATGTATTTTTTTCTTTTAATTTAGGAGATTGAGTTAGCACTCAATAATGGGAAGAACCTACATTGTAGAAGAAGGTGTTGGCCAATATCTTGCAAACATCGATCTCCAAGGAAAGGCTTTTGTTTCTGGTCTTTTAATAGGACAGGTATGTGTCTTTTAACCTGCATTTATTGATAAATTACTCATTTATTAAAAGTTATAATATGCTATTTAACAGTAATCTCAAGGTGTGGTAGGGAAGGAATATGTTATAGAAGAAGGAAATTTAAAGTGCATCCTTCAGGAAAAGCCTGAAGAATTAGGACAAACCTAGCCTAGGTTTGCTCAAGTCAGAACACATTTACCTTCTAGCAGTGTAAAAGGAATTTATTATGTAGAAACTCCTAAATTAGAATTTTAACAGTTCATTTGCACTGTTTTTTGTCTTTCCAAAGTGTGTTGTACTCCCTTCTATTCTTTATACTTTCCTGGTTATCCAATTCTTTAAGAAATTAGCTTTTGGCAATTTTATTCCCATTCTTATCTTAGCTCAAACTTGTTGTGTCAGTGGTAATATCTTTGTTACATGTGCTGTAGTACTCACTTTATTGATTTATTTCTTTTAATGTTGGTTTAATAGGGAAAGAAGGAAGAGCTATAGGGGAAATCGGGAAATTTGGCAAATTCTATTTCCCTCTTGGAAGTAAGCCTTAAAAATCAACACAAAATGGAACAGAGATTTGGGCAATTACTTTTAAAAAGCACAAGCACTCATTTATTATAATTGAAGAAAGAATATGTTAGTCATTACGAAGGACTAAGTGGTCAGCAGTGCAAAGGAAATAAAGGAGAGTCACATAAGCAAATTGGCTATATCTGTTCAAAAACTATTTAGGTGAGAGTACACTGTGGCCCAGGGGCTTGATTTTGAGGGCTAATAGCAAATAAACTCTGCTGTGACAATTTTCTGTGTATCTTAGCCTGACGCCTTAGAACATCCAAATTGCATAACTAACTCCTCTTATTCTGATTTTATTCCCAAGTGACTTTCTTTTATAATTCGATACACCACATTATTTACTTATAAATAATGGTCTGCCCAGAGGACTCATGAGTTCAGACCTTTTCATGGTACTCTGGTTTCCTACATTATTCTGAATGAATTTAGTTAATGTCAGTCCAGCCTGAGAGACAGGTTCTGTGGCAGAACTTTCACAAATCAGGTTGCTTAGCTTGGGAGACATAGGGCAGACCCTGCACTGTTCACTCAAGTGGTTCTGTTCTTTGAGGCCTCTCAATAGACAGCCAGACAGCCTTGCTTGGCAACAATGTAAACTTCTAGGTAAAGGCTGCTTAGTATCTGTCTCAGTCATCTAGTGCTGCCATAACAGAAATACCACAAGTGGATGGTTTTAATGAAGAGAAGTTTATTTCCTCACAGTCAAAGTAGGCTAAAAGTCCAAATTCAGGGCATCAGCTCCAGGGGAAGTCTTTCTCTCTCTGTCGGCCTTCTAATCAATGTTCCCCCGGACTAAGAGCTTCTCGGCGCAGGGACCCTGGTCCAAAGGACGCGCTCTGCTCCCAGCACTGCTTTCACGATGGTACGAGGTCCCCCTGTCTTACTGCTCACTTCTGTCTTTTATATCTCAAGACATTGCCTCAGGATACAATCCAATCTTATAGACTGAGTCCTGCCTTACTAACACAACTGCCGCCCATCCTCCCTCATTAACATCATAGAGGCAGGATTTACAACATATAGGAAAACCACGCAATACCAGGAATCATGGCGCGGCCAAATTGATACACATATTTTTTGGGGGACATAATTCAAACCTTGACAGTATCTAAAGTGGGGCTCTTCTGGTTGGAACTTTTTATTTAAATTGTTTTACTTCCCTTTATTTTAAAAATTAAAGGGAAGAAGAACCATAGAGAAAGATGTGGTCAGTAAAGTTAAAAAAATCAGGGAGAATGACCCTCTTACCTGCTTGTGTTACTGGATTTAGGCTGTTTCTGGAACTCAGCAAGACCGCCATCTTATAAATAAGCCTCTTACAATTTAGGGCCTTCTACCCAACCCTTGGAAACCCTGGTGGCATAGTGGTTAAGTGCCATGGCTGTTAACAAAAAGGTTGGCAGTTCGAATCCACCAGGCGCTCCTTGGAAACTCTATGAGGCAGTTCTACTCTGTCCTGTAGGGTTGCTATGAGTTGGAATCGACACAACAGCAACAGGTTTTTTGGTTTATGTGATCCACATTCAAGATATTCAAATAGATAAGGAGCTGATAGTCATACATTAAAAGATGAACAACATGTAGGGAAAATGTTGTAAGGCTATAATGAAAATTGGTTTCCCTGTAGGTTCCATTGTGATATGTTGTTGTTGTTAGGTACCATCAAGTTGATTTTGACTCATAATGACCCCATGTGACAGAGTAGAACTGTGCTACATAGGGTTTTCTTGGCCGTCATCTTTATGGAAGCAGATCGCCAGATCTTTTTCCTGTGTTGCTGCTGGGTGGGTTTAAACCACCAACCTTTTGGTTAACAGTCAAGTGCTTAACCTTTTGTGCCACCAGGGCTCTTTCCATTATCGTACAGGTATTAATAAGCATCTGCTACAAATATTTCTAATTGATGCATGCCATAAGAACTATACATTCTTCAATCAGGTATCACTCTAATACTTTTTACTTTGTTTTTGAAGTGTTCTTCACAAAAGGATTATGTGATACTTGCCACTAGAACACCACCCAAAGAGGAACAAAATGAAAGCCTTAAACATCCCAAAGATAAGATGGACAACTTGGATGAAGAATGGGTCACAGAACATGCCAACCAGGTCATCATATTGTGTTCTTTATATCGTTAAGTTCGTACTTATTTGATTAACAAAATAAAAGCATTTTAACTTCAAGCTACTGGACTAGGATTTCAGAGTAGTCATTCTTAAGTTTTTAAAACTTGCATAGTATATAAAAAATAGAAGTATTTTCTACTCTGCTTCATCCATGATTGTATTGTTTATTTTGTTGACTACCTATGTCTAGTTTTAAAAAGGCATTGCGTTACTTATAAAAATAATTCATATGATGAGGAAGGGAAAGGGGGAGTGACTGCTTTGGGGTATGGAGTTTCTTTTTAAGGTGGTGAAAATATTCTAGAATGAGAGAGTGGTCATGTTTGCACAGCTCTGTATATATAGACTAAAACGCCCTGAAATGTAGACTTTAAAAGGTGAACTTTATGTTATGTCACTGAATTATAGCTCACTAAAGCTATAGTAGAAAAAGAAAAGAAAAATAATGTTTCATGCATATTCAAAGAAATTTGATAAACACTCCAAAAAAAAGAAAACAAATACAATTACCTAAATTTCTATCATCCAGAGAGAATTGCGCTAGTATGTGTATGTATGTGTGTGTGTGTGTTTGTATGTGTGTACCGTATGTTGTTGTTGTTGTTAGGTAGTGTCAAGTTGGTTCTGACTCATAGCGACACTGTGTACAACAGAACGAAAGACTGCCCTGTCCTGCGCTATCCTTACAATCATTGTTATGCTTGAGCCCACTGTTGCAGCCAAGAGAGGATGGCGAGACTTCATCTCCTGTACTTTGGGTATGTTGTCAGAAGGGACCAGTCCCTGAAGAAGGACATCATGCTTGGTAAAGTAGAGGGTCAGCAAACAAGAGGGAGACCCTCAATGACGTAGACTGACATAGTGGCTGCAGGACCAGACAGCATATCATTCAGCATGCACTCAGGGTTGCTATGAGTCAGAATCAACTCAACAGAACCTAAGAACAACAACACTCATTATTAGATGATATAATTCATTTAATAATTACCTTTAAGTAAATAAATTCACTCATCATTCTCTCTCTACCCACTCCCAAATCTGCTTCCTTCTCCTGTAATGGCAACACCATCCTCTTAGACACCCAGGGTAAAAATCTCAGTCATCTTTAGATATTGTTTCACTTTATCTCCTCACTTCTATTGTACTTGGTCACCAAAACCAAAAAAAAACATACCCATTTCCATCAAGTCGATTCCGACTCGTAGTGACCCATGGTCACTAAATCTTCTTAATCCTACCTCTTTTCTGACAATGCAGTTCTAGCTCACTACATTAGTTTGTTCTGGCTGTACTTCTTCCACGACAGATTTGTTTGTTCTTCTGGCAGGCCATCGTATATTCAATATTCTTCGCCAATGCCTTAATTCAAACGCAACAATTCTTCTTCATTATTTTTTATTCATTGTCTAGCTTTCGCATGCATATGAGGTGATTGAAACTGTCATGGCTTGGTCAGGCACACCTTAGTCCTCAAAGTGACATGTTTGGTTTTTAACACTTTAAAGAGGTCTTTTGCAGCAGATTTGCCCAATGCAATATGTTATTTGATTTCTTGACTGCTGCTTCCATGGGTGTTGATTGTGCATGCAAGAAAAATGATGAGTGTTAGAATAAGGTAAACGTGGAATTATGTCCTCCAGTCAATTTTAAATCCTTTAAACATAACATATCTGTGTATGTGATTGTATGTATGTGATGTATGTACACATACACAGCCATGTCTGTGCGTCTGTGAATATGTTTATGATGGGAGAGGAAGTTTGTAGTTACAAAATATTTAATGCCATCTTCTAAATTAAAGATAAAATATTTTTTACTGAAATTCTTAATCATTTTTAAAGTACTTTCTACTCTAATTTTGCTTTTGTTATCTTATAAAACTTTATATAGTAAATGTTTTTACCATATAACTGTTTTACGGCTAGAAAGAAATGATTAATTTTTTAATGTGTTCATGATTTTTAGAAAGATATGTAGTTTCCCCATTGTAAATATAAAAACTTTATTCTTGTTAGGCTTGTGTTGCTGTAGTAAATACAATTTATGACATCTGAGGAAACTACTGGCAGCCATAATGTAAATAATGTATTAATATTAGATTATGATATTTAATTTTATGAAGACTTAACTTGGTGATCAGTGTGCTTACACAGTAAATACACAAAAGCTTAGCAAAGCAACTGTGATCTCTGAGAACAGATTGTAGAAAAAAAATCCACTTGGCATTAAGAAGTAACCACATTCATGTGAAGGGAAATATAGATATTATGAGGGACAAGCTGGTAGTGTATATCAATATCCTTAGAAATATGCATAACTTCTTAACCCAATAATTTACCTCAAGGGAGTTAGGTATTCTAAGTAAATAATCCTATGACACAGAAAGACTTACTAGGATTTTTAATTAGTATTATTTTAGAAAAAAGAAACATTGGAAATAACAAAAATGTTCAATATCAGTAAATTGGTTTAAAAAGTTGAGGTAAACCTAAATAGAAAATAATGGATTTTCAAATCAGGTTCTCTCTGTTCAAATCCCAGGATCTAGTATGCTGCTAAATATTATAGGGATACAAAGGTAGTTAAGACTCAGTTCTCCCCTTAAGGAGCCCCCAGACCAATCACTAAGGTACGCAAATAACCATACGCAGGGCATGTGATGAGCTCCATGATAAAACTACACCGACGTCCTGTGGGAGTTCAGAGACCAAAGGATCAAGGAAGGTGGCTTCCTTAAGCTGACTTTGAAGTATTTGATAGGGTTCAGATTTGTAGAGGTATGGAGGAAAGTCCTTGCAGGCTGAAGGGACAGCCAGGGTAAAGGCACAGAGTTGGTAAACTTAGGTCTGTGCATGGCGAACAGTGAGTAGTTTTTGACTGAAACTTAAATTTTTTAGGGAAAGTAGTGTCAAATGAGGTTCTGAGTGTCAGATTGGCCACATTGTAGAGTTTGAAATGCTAGTTTATGTTAACAGCCTAAATTTTAAGCTGATAAATGGGAAGCTATTGAAAAAATTTATAAGATATTTTAGTCTTTGGTCTCATTAGGAAAGGGTTTATTTAATGATGTAGCTAAAGGATGTCATTGTTAAATGGTTCTGTTTATAAAGTAGTTCTATTGTGTCTTAATTATCTAGTGCTGGTATGAAAGAAATATCACAAATGGGTGGCTTTAACAAAGAGAAATTTATTTTCTCACAGTTTAGAAAGCTAGAAGTCCAAATTCAGGGTGCCAGCTCTAGGGCAAGGCTTTCTCTCTCTACTGGGTCTGGAGGAAGGTCCTTGTCTTTTTGAGCTTCTGCTCCTAGGAGATCTTCATATAGCTTAGCATCTCTCTTCCACCATCTCTGCTTCTGCTCACTTGTTTAATCTCTTTTATATCTCAAAAGAGATTGACTCAAGATACACCCTACACTAATCCTACCTCATCAACATAATGAAAACAACCCATCCCCGAATGGGATTATAACCACAAGCATAGAGGATTTACAACACATATTTTGGGGGGTCATAATTCAATCCATAACATTCCACTCTTTGCCCCCCCCCCAAATTCATGTCCTTGTTACATGCAAAACACATTCACCCCATCACATATGGTAAAACGTTAAGGATATTCTAGAAAGATAGTGTACATAATAACACGCCATTCATCTTGGTTACTGTCATGGGTTGAATTGTGTCCCCCCAAAATGTGTGTCAACTTGGCTAGGCCATGATTCCCAGTATTGTGTGGTTGTCCTCCGTTTTGTAATATGATGTAATTATTCTATGCGTCGTAAATCCTAATCTCTATGATGTTAACGAGGCAGGATTAGAGGGAGTTACATTAATGAGACAGGAGACAATCTACAGGATTAGGTTGTATCTTGAGTCAGTCTTTTTTATGATGTAAAAGAGGGATGTGAGCAGAGAGGAGAGAGACCTCTTAGCACTAAGAAAGAAGAGCTGGGAGCAGAGTGTATCCTTTCGACCCAGAGTCTGTGTGCTGAGAAACTCCTAGACCCAAGAGAAGATTGATGACAAGAACCATCCCCCAGAGCCGATGGAGAAAGAAAGCCTTCCCCTGAAGCTGGCGCCCTGAATTTGGTCTTCTGGCCTCCTAAACTGTGAGAGAATAAATTTCTGTTCATTAAGGCCATCAACTGGTATTTCTGTTATAGCAGTAGCAGATAAGTAACACAGATACCGTCTGTTTCTTAATATTATTATCAGTTTTTTAAAGTCCTTACCTTATTGCTATGCATGTAGTTGATACTCAGTATTTGCTGATTCAGATTCTCAAACAGAAAGGACTGACTATAATGCCAAATGTTTATGTTAGCTAATATTATATTTCTATTTTTAGGTATCCAGAATGCTACCAGGGGGACTTTTAGTTCTTGGAGTATTCATCATTACAACTTTAGAACTGGCAAATGATTTTCAAAATGCCCTACGCAGAGTAAGTCCAATCTGTCAAAAATTCTTAATACGGTCAGAGTTATGTATTATTTTAATTGAGAATGCATATATACAATGATACTAATGTATTTAAATTAGTGATTCATAATTCTTTATGTTAGGATTATATTGAAACAACTTTCCACCTAATTGCTTGGATATCTTGATAATACATGTAAATATTTATATTTTCAGTCAAAGCTAAATATTTTAAAAGTCTTTATTTTAAAAATTATTTATTACGATTATGAAACAAGCTACAATGGTTTAAAAGAAGTTTTTCTTGTGTAATAGCAATGTTCTTCAGCTACACCTTCCGTTTAGTACCAAAACCAAACCCGTTGCCGTTGAGTCGATTCCGAGTGATAGCAACCCTATATGACAGAGTAGAACTGCCCTGTAGCGTTTCCAAGGAGTGCGTGGTGGATTTGAACTACTGACCTTTTGGTTAGCAAATGTAGCTCTTAACCACTGCACCACCAGGGTTTCCATTTGGTACCAAGTAATTGCTAATAATGTGAAATTGACAGTTGTTGAGATTCTTCACCATCTGCTCAATTATCTCAAGATCCTGAGAGTGAAACATAAAGAAATGACAATCATATACTTATTTTTTATTCTTGGACAGAGTATTTATCCTAAATCCACTGTTTTGTTTTAATTTTATTCCTGTGTTAGTGAATTGAGTAACATAGTCTAGAACTAAATATGAAGGCCCACAAGCTGTTTTCCCTTAAGCCTAAACCTAAAGCAATCTTTGAGCAGCCAACTTTCACCTCTTTTAGTGTTCAAGATCCAGATGAGTTTTCAAAACAAGGGTATTTCATAGCCCAACAGAAAGTGGGACCCCAGAATCTTAAGAAGCACAAAATCCCACAGAATCCCCCCAAAACTTTTACTAGTTAAAAAGTGTGTAAGAACTGTAGGTGCTATAGATTCTTTTGGTCACGTAACCTGCTATCAAATGTCCCACCCTCAAACCTTTGATATTTGCACCTAAGGGAGTAAGGGAAGAAAATTGAGATATTCCCCTACCCTGGTCACTTATCCAACCTTCTGCCATTTTTTTCATTTTGCACCGATTTACCTCTTTCACGGTTGTTGTCTTTGGCATTTTGTGACGTAATCTATTTCTATTTGTATGTAATAGCATTCTGTGCATCCTTTTGTGGTTGGCCCTGGATTAAATGGGGTGAATGTGGGGCCAGTGCTAGAGAGCTACAGACAGGTCCTCCTTCCTTTTGCTTTAGTATCTCTTCTTTCTAAGAAGCATATATCTCTTCAGAAATGCTTTGTCTCAAAAATGGTCGAGCTTCAGTTGCCTAACTTTGTTACCATTGGCCTTCATTGAGGGACACTATAATAAATAACTTTATAAAACTTGTCGGTGTCTCGCATAAGGTTACTGTTAAGAACTTTGTTCATTATATTACATAATGTTGTCTTTAGGGAAGAAATGTCTTTTGGATATCATTATCAAGAAAGTTATGCCTCTTCTGATCTATTTGTTTGTTTTCAGCTATTGTTAGAAAGCTTAGAGCCAAATTTATAACCCCTTACCACAATATGAAGTATGCATTTTCATCATTCTTATTTCTGGTATGAATTCAAGTCACTTTAATTTTTTTCACTTTTAATTTGTTATTACTATATTTTATGTATCCTTGTATATTGCTTTAAATCCTTAATAACATTTAAATAAGAAATGCTAAATGGTTGACGTGATTCATTTTTGTGGGTTAAAATCCTTGTCATTTCTCATTCTAATTAAAGTAATCTGTAATCTGTACTGTATTTCATTTAAATGTTATCCAAAATTAGTCTTCCATGTCCAGTTGATCATTCATGACAGCAAATTATATTTTTCTACTTAAAATCTAGTTTTATATTTTCCTAAAAATGGAATTGAAAATGGTTAGTAATCAGTTTCCTTTTTTCTTTTGAAGAAAAGAAAAATTAACAATACAGTCATGGAATTTGAAAGCTAGAGGAGAGCTTAGGGACATTATAATTGTCTTTTTCCTGCGCTCACTTTTCTTCTTTTCATTTTGCATTCAATTGATGTGTGGTTTTTTCCCCTTCAGCTAGTCTTTGCTGTTGAAAAGTCTATGAATAAAAAGAAACTATGGAGTTTCACAGAGGAGGAAGTCTCAGAACGAGTGACACTTCACATTTGCTCCTCTACAAAAAAGTATCTTTTATTTGGGTGTTTATTATTTAAAATATATGGTGCCTATCAAAATAATGCTCCTGCACAACTTTTCTTTTTTCCAAAATTTAATTGAATCACCATCATTTTTACGATAGTCATGGTTTGTAAGTTTTTCTTTAAATAACATATAACTAAGGCTGCTAATAATAATAGTAATAATGGTTGTTAATCATGTCTTAAGGTTGTAAAGAGTTTGAGAGAGAGATAGCAGGGGTTCAGGATTCTGATTTCTTTACCAGCTATCTATACTTGTATACCCAAGCACACAATAGGTCCCCTAGAGAGAGAGATGCCCAGCTATCAGCTTAGGTAAAGTGATGCATTGATTGTGTGAAAGCTTTCATTTCCAATTCCTATAGATAAACTCTGCAGGAGAAAGATGTGACAGTCTGCTTCCATAAAGATTTACAGTCTTAGAAATCATATGGGGCAGTTCTCCTCTGTCCTGTAGGGTCACTATGAGTTAGAAGAGACTTGATGGCAGTAGGTTTTTGGGGTGTAGATAAACTCTATAATTCAAAGCACAAGTTGGTTTTGAATTTCTGGAAAACATCCAAGAAATTTTCATGACTTTGACTTAAGGTCAAATGACACTAAAAGCCCATTATGGGGCCTCCTCAGCTTCTCTCCTCTACATCTTGCCAGGGCAAGGGTAACTTCCAAGTGGAAAAGCAGCTTCACCAAGGAAGTGTAGCAGTCCAAGGGCTGAATAAACTAGGACTTCAAGGACAAAATTCAAAAAGTAATGATTTCTTCAGAAGCAGAGATTTTATTTCTTATAGTATTAACTGGAACGTTCATGTGCAAGACCTTTGACCCAATAAATATTCTTAGACTTGACCCCATCCAAGTCAGTATTCCTCTTCTTTGTTAAGGAGGGTGTGTATTGAAGAAAATTTTGCAAGGGCTTCCATTCTGTTCATTGTCATTAGCAGGATTTGTAGGTGGAAGGAATTAGTTTTCAAGCACCACAAATATTATAGGTAGAGCATGTTTGTATATATATGTATAATGTATATATTATTTAAATAATATATACATGTATACATACATACGTCTATATATATGTAATATATACACGCATATATGTGTCTTTAAGTGTATAAACTATGATTTTGTAAAAGTTCTTATATGCATGTACTACTTTTTATTTTTTAATGGTTTTTTTTTTTTTATTTGATTATCAAGAATTGCTTCTTTTTTTGGTCATTTCTGTCCTTAATTAGTGAAGAATATTTTGTCGAACTTACGATATCCGTGATCCAAAGGTAAGAAAAATTACTCTTTAAAGATATTTCTGTTGCAAATTTTTAAATAAAATTTATTTTTATAATTAGTCTTAATTATTGTCAATGCCATTACTTCCTATTGATGTTCACAAGCACCTGTAGTTTTTTTTTTTTTTTTGGAATGTACTTACTTTTATTAGAGGCAATAATGAACACAAAGAAAACATATATTTTTAATCATTAGAATATTTTCATCAGATGCGTTCTATCTTGTTTATGTGTTCAGTTTTTTATTTGGGGGACAGTTTTTTATTTGAGGACTTTTAGTAGTTACAGTGCCTAGGAAGCAAGCTGTCTGTATTCAGTGAAACGCAGACTTAGATTTTGAAAAAGTGACTTTGTAGCTCTCTATTTTCATAAACAAGGAAGTCACAGAAATATGGAGTTTAGTTTATTGAGGAGACGCAGCAGTTTTGAATCAGGTTACACAGGCACACAACCTAAATGTAATGTACTTAATTAGCTAATTTAAATAAGCTAACATGATTGCTGCATAGTCTGTTAGCAAGGATAGAACAGAAAGAACACTTACAAGTTCACTTGGTGATTGTTTGTTCCACATCAGAAGCTTCAGAATCAACACTATTGAAGCTGCAGGATCAGAGGGCTTTTTCAGATTTCTGAACATGGACATTTCTGATCTTTTTTCTGCCTACCCTTTGGCAGGGAGGGTGAGGTGAGGGGGTGCCAAGGTTACCTGGCTTGTACTGAAGAGCACTGAACTTAATATATACCTCATTTTTATTTAGTTCTAATCTGTAGCCCTTTGATCAAAGAATTTGGCAAAGTATATTGGATATCAGATTGTACGAGTTATTATTTTGTACATTTTATAATATTTTATTGATCTGTGTACTTCTCCTAAACCACATATGTTATGCTTTTCCTTCTTTCTCACTGCTAAAGAGTTCAGCAAGACCAGCAGATTGGAAGTATCAAAATGGACTATCAACTTCATGGCTTTCTTTAGAGTGTACAGTTCACATTAATATTCACATTCCACTCTCTACTACTGCTGTCAGCTATGCTCTGGAGAAAAATACAAAGGTATCAGGGTGAAAAGTGTTTTCTTTAGTAATTGCTGAGTACAAAGTCTGTTTTAATTCTGGTTGTCTGTGCCATTCATTAGATAGTCCTCAAACATCATATTCTGTATATAAGGATATAGTTATAAGTAACTAACTATTCCTACCTCAGCCAGATTATAAATTTTCTTAGGCATAGGACAGTGTCATAATGCTGGTGTATTTAGCACAATAGGCATTCAATAAAAATTTGTTAGCTAAAATGTAGTTATATAAATTTTAAAATATAATTATGTAAAATGAAATTATGTAAGAAGGGTTACTGTTTGGTCTTTTTGCTGTCTTGGTCTTTAGTTCTATCTTAACTTTTCCAGTCCTTTTTGCATTTCTATACCATTCTTTTGTTTATCTCATTTCTTAATTTTCTCTTCTTTGCTTCCTACTGAAGGAGGCAAATGAAGTTTGCTTATTTTTTCCTCTTTAATACTGCCTTATATTATTTGTATGAGACTCTTTTTTTTTTTAAGATAGTGGATATTATTGAATGTTACTTGACTATATTTATGTAGTATTAGTTAAGTCTGTGATATAAATGTTAGTTTGGGATAAAGGCCAAGGGAAAAAAACTGAAAAATTATTATTAAATATATGAGTAAGGTGCTAAAAATTGGAGATATACTCTCTTTATTCAAGAGACTGAATTTAAATACAGCATTACTGGTACTTTAGGATTTTTAATATTTCTGTGTGTTCGGTGGAATAAAACAGAGTCTAGGGAATTTAATTTAGATGGCATTATAACTGAAGGATATCCATACTTTTTTTCTTTCAAGAATGGACTTACACGCTGGGCCAAGCAAATAGAAAATGGTGTATTTTTGATTAATGGACAAGTTAAAGATGAAGATTGTGACCTATTACAAGGACAGGTAAGTTAAGAGAAGATTATCTTGCTTATGAAATTATTTGTACTTAAGGAAAATAAAAGATAACTTATCTTTAGTTCTTTAGTCCTTGCCTTCAGGAAAACAAGTTTTCATTTACAGGTAGTCCCAGATTTACGCCATACTCGAGTTACGATGAACCGCACTTAAATAACCTTCTGTTTTTTTGTTTGCACATCTTAGTGTTAGTATGTGTACTACGTACAATGTTGCGGTGCATAATTTGTTGATGTCATCATATTTGTAAGTTTATATGTAAGGTTTCCAACCCTGAAAGACAAAGATTAGATTTATAAAGATATTTATAACAAAAGCCAATAATAATGGAAACTAAAAAATAAAAAGAGGTATTTGGCATACATCAGAATTGATTTACAGCAGAGTCATCAGAACGTAACCTTGTTGTAAGTCAGGGACTGCCTGTACTTCTTATTTCTAAGGTCTTTTAAGGTAAAAGACGAATAGTTTTTTCCAAAAATGATGGAAGGGGATTATTTCTGATCTAATTGGAATCCTAAAACCTAAAGAAGGGAATGTCATATAATCTGAAAGTCCTCTGAATTGTAACCTGTTCATTTAAAACTAAAGGCCCCATATTGTTCTGCCATGATAGCAGTTTCAAGGCTAAGTAGTGCCATCTTAAAGGAATGGTCTATGAGGCCTTCTAAAATAGCTGTAACCTTAAGGAAGGGGAACTTTGGTCATTTCTCCCCTTAGAGCAGGGGTCGGTAAACATGTACAGAACCAGATAGTAAATACGTAGACTTTACAGACCAGATGGTCTCTTGTAACTATTCAGCTCTGCTGTTGTAGCATGAAGGCAACCACTGATAATATGTAAATGAATGTTTCTGGCTGTATTCCAGTAAAACCTTATTTACAAAAACAGGTGGCAGTCTGGATTTGCCCACAGGCTATAGATTTGCCAGTCCTTGATTAGAGAAATAAAAGTAGAGAATTTTTGTGATATTAATGGTTTTCAGGAGTACACATTGATATAGAATACACAAAGTTACATACCTATTGTCATGGGTTGAATTGGGTCCCCCAAAATATGTGTTGGATTCCTAACCCCTATACCTTTGGATGTAATCCTATTTGGGAATAAGGTTTTCTTTGTTATGTTAATGAGGTCATATCAGGGTAAAGTATGTCCTAAACCTAATTGCTTCTGAGTTATAAGAAGAGCAGATTAGACACAAAAGCAAGCACAAACATGGAGGCAGATAGATGCCACATGAAAGTTGCCAAGGAACCTAAGAATGCCAGAAGCTGAAAGAGACAAAGATCTCCCCCCAGAGCTGACAGAGAGAGAGCCTTCTCCTAGGGCTGGTGCCTTGAATTCTGACTTCCTAAACTATGAGAAAATAAATTTCTGTTCTTTAAAGCCACCGGCTTGTGGTATTTCTGTTTCGGTAGCCCTAGGAAATGAAGATACCTATAGGAAAAAGCTGCATTAAAAAATACTAAGTTACTTGGTATCTAGAATAGACCCTAAATTATCTTTTATGTTCCAATTGCATTCTCTACAGTCTGGCTTGTTAACTTTTGTGTTTTTTCAGAAAAAATCTTCTAGAGGAAATCCTCAAGTGACTTATCAGTCTTTTGATGTCCGAGTTCTAACACAGTTGGTAAATATTTAAATACCACTTACAAAAATACATTATTTCTTAGAATAACCATAATGAAAGTTTTCTGTTTGTATGTTTATAGAGAATCAAAGAATTTGAGATGAAAGAGAGTATATAAAATACCTAGTTCTACAAGTTACTCCCAGGAAACATTTTAATGTAATCTACTTGTGTCTTTTGCCTCAAGGCCATTAAGATTTTAACAGCAAGTTGATAACAATTGAAAAAAACATAATACATGTACATTTGAATGTGTTTATGTATGTGTATACACATAAATATGAACATTTTGAGTTGCAGGTTTTATAAGCAAAGTTGCAATTCTTAACTTAAAACAAGTGTACACAGATGTGCCAAGAGTTGTCAGATACTTAATTTGTAGTAGGTTTATACCTCCTCTGATTTTATAAAAATCAAAGTATTAGCAAGTTCTATATTTTTATATCGTTATTTTAATTACACATCTCTTCAGTAATTTAAAGTTTGATATCTTGAAGAATAAAAAGTTAAACCCACTAATTATTCCTAAAATTATACATGTTTTTGATTTTAATCCTGTTTAAGATTATCCTAGAAAACAGACCCATGTTTTTAGGAAACTTTTTATTTCAATATTATACTGGAAACATTGAAATTGGAAATAGTAAGAAGAGTAGCATTTTTTTTTAACTGAATAAAATAGAATTAAAAGCAGTTTCACATGATGATGTGTTAATGTCTTTTCTTCATTTTCTGTGATTAGCAATAGAGCATTACTAAATTGTCAGTGGACATATGCCACTCAACATAAAGTCTCAATTTCCCATCTCAATACCTTAAAGTATTTTTCATTTTTTATTTTCTTCCTTCATTTTGGTTTCAGAAGAAGTGTCGTTTGTTTTAAGACTTTCTTCCACTTATATGCTCTTTACTAGTTATGCTTGTGTGACCTCTTGGTTTATTAAACAATATGGTTAAAATTATTTTAGTGATAAAATTGCACTTGAGGGATTTATAGAGTATAGGGTTCTAAAGAGAAGAGTAGAAGATACTATCTTAAAAGATAATTTCTTGTAATAATATTTGATAGTGTTTGTATAGTTGTGTGCCATCTAGTCAATTCTGACTCATAGGGACCATATAGGACAGAGTGGAGCTGCCCCAGGGTTTCCAAGGCTGTAAATCCTTAGAGAAGCAGACTGCCACATCTTTCTCCTGTGGAGTGGCTGGTGATTTTGAACTGCTGACCTTTCGGTTACCAGCTGGTATTTAACCACTGTGCCACCAGAGCTCTTTGTTTAATAGTATATAGAGTAATATATTTTTCTCAACCATTCCACTGGTCACCTAGGCTGGAAACTTTTGAGTGACTGGTGTATATGTTAGGAAGCCCTAGTGACACAGTGGTTAAGTGAATGATCAGCTGCTAACCAAAAGGTCAGCGGTTTGAACCTACCAGCCGTTCCGCAGGAGAAAGATGTGGCAGTCTGCTTCTGCAGAGATTATAGCCTTGGACACCCTATGGGGCAGTATTACTCTGTCTTAAAAGGTCGCTATGAGTTGGAATTGATGACAATGGGCTTGGTTTTTTTGTTTGTTTGTTTGGGTTTGGGTATGTATTAAGTAGTCAATAAGTACTTGATGCCACTTTCCTTCCCCACAACCCCTCAAGTTTTGTTGATTCTTTCTTTGCAGTGGTAAGCTCATCTTTTATATCCCTTACAGCCCCATTGCCATTAGCCTTACAACAATTATTATTTTACTTAGATTATTGCAGGTTACTTCTAACTGGTTTATCTCCATCTATTCACCCTTGCCCTAAGTGGTATTGTTACTCTGAAAATGCTTAGACCTTTTTTTTTTTGTATATCTGTTTTATGATCATATGATATTAGGTATGATTATAGGTTCTTTGCATGGCAGGACTCAATATAAAGGCACTCAGATGGTGAAAGACAGACTCATTGTTATTTATAGCTCCAAACAGGAGAAGGCTACCAAGCGGAGCTACACAGGGAGTGTACCTGGGGACAGGGTAACAGCAAGTTGAGTTATAGTAACTGGCTTATATATGGCAAGTGGGGTGGGGTTAAGGAGGTTATACAGACTTCCTGGTGACTGGGTATTTTGATAAATCCCACGGGCCCAGAGAAGAAGGAGTACTTCCTGGGTGTTAGGCATCTGGGGCCCTCTATGTGTTGTAGCCCAGGAGTGTCAGAACTCGGTAAGAAGTAATTGGGATGTGGGCTGCAAAGGAGAACTGAAAATTTTTTAGACACGGTCTCAACTATTTGGTCTGTGACAATTTTTTCTTTGTTTTTTTTACCAGCAAGACCTTGATCTGTTTTAAGTTCTTTAAAAAACTAGCCTTTGCATGAATTACTATTAGGCATTGCCTATGGAGCCCTTGTAGTGCAGTGGTTAAGAGGTTGGCTGCTACCAAAAAGTCGGCAGTGTGAATCCACCAGCCGCTCCTTGGAAACCCTGTGGGGCAGTTCTGCTCTGTCCTATAGGTCACTGTGAGTCGGAACTCAATGGCGCATAACAACGACTGCATTGATGCTGTTTCAGTAGCTGCAAATTTCAAGTCTGCTATTTGTTTAACGTGTTTCCTCCTCTCTTCGTGGTGATTTGCATTGTGTTCTTCAGAACTGACCCTACTGGTTTCTTTTAAAAATATATTTTATTATGTTTTTAGTGAAAGTTTACACAATTAGGTTCCCATTTGACAATTTCTACACAAACTGTTCAGTGACATTAGTTACATTTTACACAATGTGTCAGCATTCTCTTTAATTGCATTCTGGTTGTTCCCTTTGACTCTTATTTTTGAATAATTTATTCCAGATGTACTTACAACATGTATTACTTTCTTACCACTTCCAGTTTTGTTCTGTTTTTTTAATCATGATTTTTGTTTCCATTGTAATTACAAGCATCTATAGTACTTGCACTGTTTCATTGCTCTCCTTGTTTTCATGCTTATTAAAATTATGAGATTAAAAATATTTGTAAAACGCCTCAAAGGCAAACAGTAACTAACACTCCTTAGACTAAAAAAGAATAGAACAGTGACATAGAAATGACTGATTATAACCACTAATACCATTGTCTGGTGATAGGCATAGTTGACTCACTTTGTTTTTTACTCTAGAGCATAGCATTATGTCTAATCTCTGAAAGGTGTGAGTTGAATGTGTATAAATGAATGAAAATCTATACACTGTTTGTACTTTTACTGTATTCATCACATCCTACTTTGTATCAGTTATTTTTTGCATATCTTTAGTTGCATATTTTATATCTTATATTGTGTCTTTATATATCTTTTCATCTTTACAGTGCTTATCTGAGTAATCTGCAAATAATAGGTGTTTAGTAAATAAGTTGAGTGAATGTTGGTTTCTTAGGTGGTTATATTAGTAAGAAAAAAACTTAGATGGAGTTATTTTAATTTCCGGCTACATTCAAAACGCTCAGTAAATAGTATATAACTTATAAACAGAAAAGTGACAGCCTTTTAATAATTTATAGAGATATTTTCAAATACTTGGCTCAGTCGAAAATCTCTTCTCTCTCCTTAAAACAACTTAGATAGTATTTAAATGTTTTCATATAGCTAATAATTATTGACCATTAGAAATAAAACAGATTTTGTCTTTCAGCTCCTGAGTTCAGACCACAGATCTACAGCCACAGTCCAGATCTGCAGTGGTTCTGTAAACCTTAAGGGTGCTGTGAAATGCAGAGCTTATATTCACAACAGTAAACCCAAGGTTAAAGATGCTGTGCAGGTACAAAAAAGGAATAACTGGTATCATGGTTTGAATTATGTCCCCCCAAAAATGTATGTATCAGTATGACTAGGCCATGATTCCTGGTACTGTGTGATTTTCCTGCATGTTGTAA